ATAATAGGAGCCTATATAAGAAAAAGACCCCAAAATCAGGACTGTCCCTATAAAATCGGGACATCTGGTCACCCTAGGCTTCCCTGAGATGCTCCCGGCCATATTTTCCCAGTCTTTCCACTTTGACAATGTGGCCAAGCTGCCGGGGGTACTCCACCTGCAGCCCTGCCCTATACTTTGGACACCAGCTGCCACTGTTCAAAAGCTTCAAATGCATCCTCGCGTGTGTAACCCTCCTCCAGGTGGTGTCCGCACCAACAGGGGCTTGGTTCCTCTTCACATTCCAAAACAGAGCAGACTTGAGCCCCCACCCAGGAGTCTGGGAAAATTGAACACCTTTAAGAGCAATACTTCCCCACTCACCAGCACTGAGTCTTGGATAACACAAGAAAACTATTATTAAAGGGAGACGGAACTCAGCATTTATTTGGGAAAACACCACAATAATGATTCTAAAGTATGCAAACTCTAAGTAAACACCACCCCACAGTGTTTTGAGTGGTGACCTTTGCCTCAGTTTCCCACCTTGTGGTGTGAAAGACCAACTGATGAATGTTCCATGGGTTCACATCCACCCCTGGGGGGGGGGGGGGCTGTCAAGCAATGCCTCTATTGCCTGCCACCTCTGCCTCTAGTTGTGATACCACATCCCTACCCTTATAGCCCGATTCTTAGTGATTATACGGGGCAGTGGGGAACCTCACTGGTGCTGCATCCTCTGTATTATCTTTCACCCCAGTGCTGTTCCCACACTAGGTCTACAACTCAGCCCCCTAGACCAGCTCCTAAATGATTTCAGCTTTAGCAGTCACTGAGCAGATACACTCTCCACTAAATCTGATCCACTCTGTCTTTGAACACTGGCGGAGTAAATTCAAACAGTACCTACAACTCTTTAACCAAGTCCATCCATCCACCTACATAGCAACAGCATACCCCACCATCTGCTCTGACTTCTATTTGAATTTGGCATCACTATTTCCTGCTTAGCAAGTGAGTATCACATTAGGGTGATCCCCACTCAATTAGGGCATAAGTACAGCTCTGTGCCCTTTAGTCATACAGTAACAACATTTTATTACTCTTGCATCCAAGAGTAAAATGAATTTTAACCCAAAACAGCCAAAATTCATCCCTTTGGCAAAGCAGATCTGTCTTCTGATGACCTAGACAAAGTAGGTGTGTCTCTGCAAATACCATCTGCTCCTGAGGTCTTTTCCCCCAGTTCATCACTAGACGGCAGGGGAGAGTTCATTCAGACCCTGCCTGTGCATGAATCCCACAATCTCTGTTTTCAGCACTGGTATTACAGCAGGCTCTGACTCTCCCTTCCCTCCCCCGGCTTGATGTCATAATATCCTGCCTTGGTGTTATGAGGAGTCCTTGTGGCACCTTAGAGACTAACAAATTTATTTGGGCATAAGCTTTTGTGGGCTTACGTTACCTTGTTAGTCTCTAAGGTGCCACAAGGACTCCTCGTTGTTTTTGTTGATGCAGACTAACACGACAACCCCTCTGAAACCTGCCTTGGTATTATGATTATTTATTTACATAAGAACAGCCATACCAGGTCAGATGAAAAGTCCATCTAGCTCCGTATCCTGTCTTCTGGTAGTGGCCAATGCCAGGTGCCCCAAAGGGAATGAACAGAACAGGTAATCATCAAGTGATCCATCCCCTGCCGCCCATTCCCAGCGTCTGGCAAACAGAGGCTAAGGACACCATCCCAGCCCATCCTGGCTAATAGCCATTGATGGACCTATTCTCCATGAACTTATCTAGTTCTTTTTTGAACCCTGTTATAGTCTTGGCCTTCACAACATCAAGACATTTAGACTGGAGGCTAGATTCACAAGGGAATTTGATCACCATTCAGACTGACACCAGAGAAAGTGGTGCAGGTCTTCTCTTGCTTTAACTTTTAGCCTAGTTTGGGGCAGGATCTGAACCCAGGTCTAGGTGAGGCCTTAACGAGCAGGCTATTAGCTCTTCTAATATTTGTCTTGCAGTAGCACCTCAGAGCACCAATCACTGACCAGGCCCTCACTGTGCTAACTGCTGTACAAACACAGAACAAAGAGAACTGACAATGTGAGTAAACTAAGCATAACAAAGCTGCTGAGCTCTTCAGGGCGGGGACTGTGTGTGTGTCTCTTTCATTTCACTTGTGGTGCCAGGTCTAGAATGAATAAATGCTGAGAATCGGTTTCTTTCCACAGAATTCATTCGCTGCTCTTCCATCACAGCCCTTCTCCCCAGAGATATTTACCAGCATCAACTTGCCAGGGGCAGGAAGGCAGTTAGACCCTCTCCCTCTCACTGGCATGAATGGGAAGGACAAAAATGCTGCCCAACCCTTGGACAAACTATTTTCTTTTCTTCTGCAGCAAGATGCCAAAGACCCCCACTCTTCAGTGGGGCTGAGCTCCAGGTGCCGGGGGCTGTGGAGTGAGTGTGTGTTTGATAACATGGCCAACCTCTGGACCTGCGACATCCCCATCTCCTACCTCAGCGAGCACTCTGGTGAGTAAAGGGTTCGCTTTGGTGCTGTGTTACTGCATGAATCAGGGCAGCAGGGGAAGCCAGCTGATTTTGTCCAGCATTTTAATTTAGAACATAAGCATGTGAGTGCTTTTCTCTAAGGGCCCCATCCCCACGGGATTGCCAGGCTTGGGATCTGTGCAAGCCCAGCAGGAATTCTCTAACTCATGATTTTGGGCTCTCTGAGGTACTGCTAACCACATCCAGAACCTCATGGTAAGCTTGGACTGTAAGCTTTTTGGGGAGGGGACTGTCTTTTCATTATACATATGGACAGCACCTAGCCCTAAGAGCCCTGATCTCCCTAGGAACTATAGCAATTTACATAATAATAATACAGTGAATTCCTTTCTTGCGTCTGACAGCCCGAGCTCTCCTGCTGAGCTGCAAACCAGCTTCTTGGTCTAGCTCTCAGCTAACCCAGCCCGTCAACCAAATCGTTCCCTATCCTCATTGAATGTTAGCCTTGGTTTTGGGATTCTTTCATTGGATGCCCAAGCAACTTGAGTCTAGTGTAACCAATCTCTGCAAAACCTTCCCAGCCTCCATTTCTTAAGGTTGGAGGGTTCACTGGTGCTGCCTGAGTAACAAAATCAGCATTGGATCTAACACCGGGGTCCTCAAACTGGGGGTCGGGACCCCTCAAGGGGCTGCAAGGTTATTACCTGGGGGGTCGCGAGCTGTCAGCTTCCACCCCAAACCCCGCTTCACCTCCAGCATTTATAATAGTGTTAAATATTAAAAAAGTGTTTTTAATTTATAAGCACTGAGGCTTGCTGTGTGAAAGGGGTCACCACTACAAAAGTTTGAGAACCACTGCTCTGGCACAGGGTCTGTCTACACTGCCGAGTGTTCCCATGTTAGGCTCGCATGTATGTGATCTGTGCTTGCCAAGCCCTCTGCAAGCATCCACACTGCAGGGCTACACGTCTCCCATAGCCATGTAGCCGCACGCACACTGGCACTGCAATTACGTGAGTCTGGTGCTAGGATTTCTGGAGAATCCCTGGGAATCTTAGCATCTCACTAACTGGAGCTGATCTAGGAACTGGTTTGCAATGTATTGTGGGAGAACTTGTCTGTCCTTCCCAGGCCCCTGTGTAGAAGCACTCTTAGCCTGCCCAACACATTTAGCTGAGGCACTTCCAGCTTTGCACACTCCTCACTTCTGTCTGTTTCGGCAGGGCTCTAGTCTCCAACCTCCGCTGTCCCTTTTGAGGTTGCATGGCTCTCTGGTGCCAGCTTTGATGGAATCTGATATGACTGGGGCTTGTCACCATCAAAGAAAAAAAGAACTGAGTATCAATGTGGACAGACCAGTGAAGACCTCTCCTCCATGTACAGCAGCAGACAAAAAGCAAACAGAATACGAATGGGATGGAAAATGATAAATCACAGTGCTATTATATAAATCAATGATTTGCCCTCCCCTGGAATGCTGTGGGAGGTAGAATCATAGAATAGAATCATAGAATATCAGAGATGGAAGGGACCTCAAGAGGTCATCTAGTCCAACCCCCTGCTCAAAGCAGGACCAATTCCCAGCTAAATCATCCCAGCCAGGGCTTTGTCAAGCCGGGCCTTAAAAACCTCCAAGGAAGGAGACTCCACCACCTCCCTAGGTAACGCATTCCAGTGTTTCACCAACCTCCTAGTGAAATAGTTTTTCC